CACACACACACACACACACACACACACATGCACACAATTTGTGCAATACTTTGAGTATCTCTTTACTCCCCACCTGCTCCTTCTCTGTACCCTTTGTCCTCTTCTAAAATGCTGCAGTAGCTCATGGGGTCTCTTCTAGGGTTGCTTTTGTCTCAGGATAAGTAGCCTTCTCCTAGGAATGTACATTGGAATCATTTGGGGAACACTCAAACAACACAGAATCAGTCCTTGAGGGATGGGGTGAAGAACACCTACGGATCCTTATATGCTCCTCAGGTGCTTCTCATCTGCAGACTTGGCTGAGAGCCCTGCTCCGTGAGTACAGGCCCATGTGTCACTTCATGCCCTTGGTTATGACTTCCATCACCCACCTGACTGCTGTACATCTCCACCTAGTAGGTACTGGGTACTTCCTTCATGCCAAGCACTGTACTAAGGACTTTCTATGAGACAATTATGAGATTAAATCCCCTCCATAACCCTATGAGAAAGTTACTAGTATTTTCTTCAATTTGCAGATAAGGAAACTGAGGCATAGGGAGGTTATATAATTTGCTGAAGATCACATAGTTAATTAAGTGGTGGAGACAGTCTCTGAAGCCAGATATGACCATAGAGCCTGGACTCTATATTTCTAGCTTTATACCTTTTGCTGTCAGGATTGCAGTGTGGGTTCATGATAATAAGATCTAGCCAGACTCCTCTGAGGAATTTTAGAGTCATCTCCCTCATCCATTATATTTAATCAATATGGATGATTTTGCCTTGAAATTTTCCAGTGATGCAGCTTAGTAGCAGAACACTTGCTTGGTGTCCATGAGGCCCTGGGTTCAGTTCCCAGCAACACAGGAAAAAAAAAATGTGCCAGAGACACATCTAGGATGTAGAAAGTCACAAAGAACAAACAAAACTACCATTTTTCTTTAACAAATGATAATTAGCCAGATATACCACAATTCACAGATTAAAAAGAAAACTCACCAGGATATTAAAGAGAAAAACCTAAAATCTGGAAAATGATGAGACTTTCCTAGGCAGATAGGTAGAAAAATGAAGCAATTCCCATTAGATGTCTGTGTGTCGGGGGGAGTGTAAGGAGAAGCCAACAGGGCCGTTTTTCTTTTTAACCGTAACTTTAAAAAACAACACATAACATGAAATCTAACAAAATTTTAACTGCACCATATGTTACTAACTATGAGCTCAAGTTGGAGAGCAAATTTCTAGAGACCTTTTCATCTGCCAAACTGAACTGCTGTTCCCATTTTCACCTCTCTTCAGCCCTTGGCAATGACCATTCTACTTTCTATGAATTTTATGAATTTGATTCCTTTAGATACTCCTAAATGGGATCATGCAGTATTTGTTTTTCTGTGCCTGGCTTATTTTACCTACCATAATGTCCTCTGGGTTCTTCCATATTGTCCCCATGGCAGAATTTCCTTCTTTTAAAGGCTGAAGAAATTCCCTTGTGTGCATACATTATGTTCTTTACTCATGCATCTATCCATATACATTTAGGCTGCTTTATGTCTTGGCTAACATAGTACTATCCTGAACATGGGTCTTGAAATATTTTCTTGAAGTCTTGATTTCAATTCTCTTGGATAAAGATTCAGAGATGGGATTCCTGGGTCATAATAGTAGTTCTATTTTTAATGGAGGGGGAAGGGCAACAGGAAGGGAGAGATTATTGAGTCACAGAAAACTAAAGAGGGATTGGGGATAAAAAGAGAACTCATCAACCACCCACAACCTGGCAGGTGGACTAAAAAGCACAGATAGACTTCTCATGGCTGACAGCACAGAACTCTGTCCCGAGTATCATCCATGTTTCCTGATCAGGAGAAAGTCATTCCCACCTCCCAAATATAGCTCAATTTGTAACAAGCTTGTGTTACAAAAACTCCAAAGCTGCATCAAAGCCCAGACTCAGGTAACTGTGGATTAGATTAACCCACACTAACCCATTAATCTTGACAGGAAAATGAGTATGCCCTTTTCTGGGGATAAATATTGTTTACTTCAGTTTTGACTGTTCGTTTCATGAAGTGGATGGCATACAATAAAAATTTACATGATATAAATAGTGGAAAGAAAATGTGACTCATGGATAAAGGAAATCATCAACACAAGAAGATGCAGACAAAGTACAGGTATTAGAATTAGAAGATGAATATGTTGAAATAAATATGGAAATATGTTAAAGGCAGTAGTGAGTAAGGTGGAAAATGTATATGATTGAAATTTTAGCATAGAAATGAAAACTATATTTAAGAAAGGAATATTGAAATGGAACTGTGACATCAGATATGAAGTTTATTGAAGGACTTAGAAAATTGAATACAACACAAGAAAGAGCACAAAGCAAAACTAGCAAATAAAAAAGGATCCTGGAGCAAACTCGGGAGGAAACAGATACAAGTTTCCAAGACTCTTCTCCAGGGAGTCACAAAGCAAACAATTGTTCAAGGAATGTGCCCTGACAACTCATGGGAAGTGTGGTACCAGGCAGCTAGCCTGAGCCTAGGTATCCAGGGTTCTTAATCAAGAAGTTAGTCACATAGAAACATTCTGCCTAGCATGTTCCAAAATTCCAAACCCCCAGAAAGAATGCAGGTAATTAGTATTAACCACATAATTTGTACAAACTGTGCAGGGATAGTGAGCTATTCTTATCAATTACAGAAGAGCGGGGATCCTTCCAAAATGCAAGCTCCCAAACATTAGCCAAGGACAAGCAGGCCTTTCTAAGGATAGCAGTGTTAGGTCTGTTATGTTAACTCTTTCGTGTACATCCTCCAACTGCAAATTTAATGCATAATTGCATCAAAGAAAACTCACAAGGTATATACGAATATTTTGAACAGAATAATAATGTATCTAAGTTCGTGGGATACAGCTAATGTAATACTTTAAATGAGATTTATAACATCACATGTCAATAGTAAAAAATGAAAAAGATGTAAAATTAATCATCTGTTTCCACTCTTAGACAAAGAAAAGGAGTAAAAGAAATATAGGGAGTAGGGTGTGGTTGCTTAATGAACACTGCATGTCAATTCTACAAAATAAAAATTTTCTGCAAACTGAGTGCTCAATGTGAATATACTTGACACTGCTAAGTGTGCACTTAGAAATGATTCAGATGTCAGATTTTATATTATGTGTTTTTTACTACCACAGCCAACAATAAAATCTCTTGAAAATCACAACAACAACAACAACAACAAAAGGCCAGTAAATACATCCAATTAGATATGGAATATTTCCATTCAAAATATGGACAAAACATAAAATCCCTGAAGTGGATGTATATTTAGCAAATAAATACACAAAAGATGTGTATTACCCATTAGGGAAATTGAAATTAAAACTGTACTGAGGTATTACCACATACCTATCAGAATGGCTCAAATTAAAAATTAGTTACACCACCAAATATTGGTGAGCATACAAAGAAACTGAATCACTGACATGTTGATGGTAGGAACTTAAAATGCTTTTTTTCATTTTCTAATAAAGTTTGTATCTTCCAGATTGAAAAGGAAGAAAAAAAGAAAAGGAAGAAAGGAAGGAAGAAAGAGAGAGAAAATAAGAAAAAAGAAAAAAAAGAAAGAAAATATAAATAAAATTGTACAGCTATTTAATACTGCATCATAACCATGCAATTACCAAATGAACCAGCAATTAGATTTCTGAACATTTTAATCTAGGAAATGAAAAGCCAAGGTTCACACAAAAACCTGTACACAAATAGTCATAGGAAATTTATTTATAATCGTGAAAAGTGAAACAACCCAGATGTCCTTTCTTCAGTGGGTAAATGTTAAACAAACTATTGTTGTGCAAGCAATCTCCAAGAGATTTTTCATCTTACAAAACTACTCCATACTCATTAAACAAGTGTCCATTTCTCTCTTCTCCTCCCACCCTTGTCAACCATGGTTCTCCTTTGGTATGTTGTAGGAATTTGACTGCTCTAGATGCCTCACCTAAGTGGAATTTTATAGTATTTGTCTTTTTGTGACTGCTTTATTTCACTTAGCATAGTATCCTCCAGGTTCATCCATATTGTAGCATGTGTTTGAATTGCCTTCTTGTTTAAGACTGAATTATATCCACTTGTGGCTGATTTACATAGTATTTTTTAAATGACAAAAGTTTTAAAATGGAAAATAGGTTAGTGATTACAGAGTTTAGGGTGGAAGAATCAGAAGGGAGTTGGATATGGTGATAAAAAAAAAAGCAACATGAGTGTTATGGTTTAGATCTGGAATGTCTCCCAAAGGCCCATGTATTGAAGGCTTGTCCACCATGTAGGAACTTTCAGAGTTGGGGCTTTTGAGGAAATGATTAGACCATGAGAATTCTGACCTCATCACCAGATTAATACATTGATAATTGAGTGGAGTGGTAGAAACTATAGGC